GAATGTGCCTTCCCAAAGACAAACCGTGCAGTAAATGCTCTGGGTCAGTGGCTCTCTGACATCTGCAGTTGTTCAGGATTTCTGTTAAATAATCTGGAGATTTTTAAAGCTCACCACTGTTAACAACAAACCCAGGAACATGTGTAAACACAGGAGTGTGTGCATCCTGAGGAAACCTTTGCAGGCACAAAGGGAAAGTTGTGCACCGAGCCAAGTGTTATCTAATAATTCAGCTATGGTCCCCAAAGCTCTGAATTCCCAGAATCACAGACTGCTTTGGGGGAAAAGGACCTTAAAACACCAAGGGATACACCTTCCACAGACCAGGCTGCTCCAAGCCCTGTCCAACCTGGCCTGGAACACTAAAATAATCCTGAAATTCCTGGTTAGGCCGAGAAGCTGCACGTTGGTAATGAGGCTTTCACGCTCTCACTGTGGTATTTTGGAACGCAGGACCCGATTTGGCTGTTGGACACAGAGCCTGGTGCCCCCCCGGCCCCAGGGAACAGCTCTGTGATTTTGGGAAGCACTGGGGGGGCAGGAGTTTGAGGAGTGTCTGTGGGAAGAGGAGCCATAAACCCCAACACTCAGCCCTGCTGTGACTCAGCACAGAGGGAGGAGCTGTTTGCTTTGGCAGAGCGTCCCTGCAAACCACAGGAGCTTCCTCGGGCCAAGATCTTTGGTCTCCGAGAGATTTATGTGCAAAAAGGCTTCCTCAGCCTTTTGCCAGCAGTTTACAGGAGGTGGTGCACGAGCCCAATAAAATCCGAGTTTCCTGCTGTTAAACCCCGCGTTTGGGATCGTGTGGCACTCCAAGTGCCTTGATTTAGGGGCAGACAGCGATTTTGCACGTGTAAGAAACATCCTAAAGCAGCAGTTCAACAGCAATCTGCTGTATTTATTTGTGACATGAACACTCACCTGCAATGCACGTGGGAATCGCCCCAGGCTTAACTCAGGGGGAGCAGCTTAGCCTTGAAGCTCCAGGCACAGCAAGGTCAGGTCCAAGGTGAGGATGGGAGGGACTGGGAAGAAAAGGGGTGGCACGGCAAACAGAAATGGAGAAATGTTCTTTTTGTGCTGTTAAATATTCCAGAACACAGCTGCCATTTCTTGCTCTCCCCTAAAGAGCCTGGTAAACTGCGCAGAATAAATTACCACCCCAGTCGGGTTTAATATGAAATATTTAAGGACACGGCCGTGAAAAGAATACGCAAAACACACTGACACCTTTGAAAATAAATATAATAAAATTGCATGTGTTTCAGGTTTGTGGGAAATCCCAGCAGGATGACTGGAAGCACAGGAACCCTTGGTGGCACTGGAAGCTGCCCCAGCCCTGCTCCACGTGAGGAATCCTCCCCATTCCATCGGCTATTTTGGTACCAAATTAATCACCCTCGATGGATGATTGGGAGTAACAGAAGGTAATAATTTTTAAATGGTTTCAGGAGCTTTGAAAGTAACTTCAATAGCTTAATCCTTCCTTCTTTGCATATCTTTGTGTGGTGGTAATAAGAGTGTGGGACAGTGGCATTCCTGTTATTAATACTGTTAAGAATGAATGACATGGATTCATGGACTTTAACACTCATCCATTTATTTCTGAAGAATTAGAAATTCACTTAGAATAAGCAAGTTCAGATGGATTTCTGGTCTCCCAAGAGCAGGAAGAAGAGAGGACAAAAAAGCCCCCCAAGACTTAATGAAACCACGAGCTCGAAGTTTTTTCAGGGGAACACAGACTTCAATTAAAAAGACAAATTCAGGATTCTTGAGTTTAAACAATCAAATCAGAGGGAGATCTGAACAATATTCACCCTTTGAGGTTGTAAGGGCTGCCATGGCCTTGTCTCATCATTGTTTTTACAGGAAAAGGAGGGAGATTCTGTCATTTTATATTTGTTACATATTTATACAGGAGTGACCCCCAGAATTTCTTCCAGTAAGGAAGCCTTGGACTGTAACATCCCAAAGATTTAACAGACTAAAATGGGACAAGAAGATCATAAGCCTATGCTTAAAATCCTCCTGGTAACGTGGCAGATGATGCCATTCTAGTCTGAGGGTTTATTTTTCCAGGAATCCTTTGTCGTCCCACTTGGCACAGGCAGGTTGTCAGAAGCTCTCAAAAATACTTTTGCAGAGTGAATTTTGGGATCTTTAGCGTGCAAACCTCTGTGACAAAAGCACACAGGACGAAATGCTGATCCCCAAGGCAGCCTGAAAGATTGTGGAGATTTGGGTTAATTGATTAAATCAAGTCAACCCAGCATTTATGCCCAGTAGGAGTTTTCAGCTCGTTCACTACACGATTCCAGCGTGTTTTGAGAAGTTATTTTGACCTTCTTCTGCGGTTCCTGATCAAGCTGATGACAGAGTAGCTGGAAAGTGGATGTCTTCGGTTCAGCACCTCAGGTAAAACTTTCTGGAAAAAAA